TGCACTTTGCCCAAAAAGCACTACACATCATTCACACACTTCGGAGTAGGGAACATTAGAACAGCCACGAGTTTGTCAGGATCAACTTGCAAACCCTCACAAGAAATACAGTACCCAAGATAAGTTGTGTCTTTGGACCCAAACACACACTTCGACCATGCCAGCTTTAAACCAATATCGCGTAGTCGATCCAACACTTTACAAACATCACGAATGTGCTCCTCCCACGTCCCCTCCAAGTGGATCAAGACATTATCAATGAAGTCAGCAGTCACCTTTGGCATATTGCAAAGAACTTCGTCCATCATCCGCTGGAAAGTTGCTGGAGCATTGTTCAAACCAAATGGCATCACCAAGAACTCATACAAACTAAATAGTGTACGAAAAGCAGTCTTAGGAATATCTTCTTTGGCCATCGGTACTTACCATTACCTAGAAGCAACATCTAACTTGGTGAACGAACGACTTCGCCCCAGATGATCCAAGAGATCAGTAGTGTGAGGAAGAGAGTACACATCTGGGATTGTCACTTCGTTTAATGGATGATAATTGATGCAAAAACGAATACTCCCATCAGGTTTTGTCACAAGATGAAGTTCACATGCCCAAGGACTCTGCGACTTCCAAATAACACCCTTCTCCAACATCTCCTTGACGTTTGCACATAAAATCTTGATTTCCTTAGGTGACTGATGACAAATAGAAACCTTGATTGAGCAAGCATCCTCAGTTGGAATCAGATAACATATGGCAATCTTGGCTCCAGATGATAGGTCAAATTCAAAGAGATTAGAATACTCTTTTATGAGCCGGTCAACCACTGCAACACAAAGATTGTCGGAGGGATCGGAAAAGGGAAGAGCAAAACAAGATGGAAACATAGGAGGAAATAGTAGGGGAATAAAAGTAATGGAAGCAGAAGTAGAAATAAAGGGACAAAAAGGTATAGAAGTGAGAGGAATGGATGAAAGTAATGGAAGCAAAAGTAGAAGTAGAGGGACGAAAAGGTATAGAAGTGAGAGGAATTGATGAAACATAAGGAAATATGAGATAAGGGGGAGAAGCTTCAAAGTCACACTTGGTATGATTGCACTGCAACCAATCTATACAAAAAATGAGATCAAAAGCTTGACTCGGCACCACCCGCAATAACTGCAACTCAAGCTCGAGATTGCCCACATGCACAACCAGATCTGCCTCATCCCGTGCACATGCATGTGGCCATTGCTATAAAGAATGAAAACTGGTTCCGCCGCATGACACAAGTGTAGACGGCAACGTATGGCAACAGGTCGAGCAATAGAAGATAAACTCGAACTTGTATCAACCCACACAGAGAGAATAATAAGAGACCTCTTGTTATAAAAAGAAGCTTGGAAAGTAAACACTAGATGAACCGGTGCTGAATGAACCCCTTGATGATACTCTTGAAAGAAAGATGGAAGGGTCACTAACTTATTCGCACAAGGTCCCTCTGTTACTTGTGCGACTCCTTGTTTCCCATATGCATCTCAATGTCCAGACCTTCCACTACAATAGCACTAATAGGACGTTGCTGATGCCAAGTCTCTACCCAGGAAATGGAGGCCCCTAATCTGAAAAACACAGACAATGCCGATAAGTATGACCAACTTCATCACATGCTCAGGAGTGAACATCACAGCCATGACCATGTCCTTGCCCTTGTCCTTGGACTTGAGTAGCAGCAACATCAACCTACATTGGAACATGACCATCACCCATAAGAAATGGAGTTGAAGGATGTGCAACGAGAAGTGGAAAAGGCGACATCTCATAACGTTGTGCCAAGGGAAGAGCATCGTCAAGGGTGGCAGGAGCAAGTGCATGCACAAGTCCGAGAAGATCTTGATAAAGTGCTAGCCACAACATTCCGAGCTTGATCCACTCCGACATATTTGGCTCCGCACGAAGTAAAAAACTTTGGAAATGAACACCAAATTGCATCACCAACTTAGATGGCCCTTGGTGAAGACGATGCAATTGTTGGAAGGCATCATCACAGTCGTCAGCATGTCCGGAGGCGCGTTTGATGACGTTCTAGAGAACACTCCAATCCCCACGAGTGGCTACGCTCAAACCATTTTACCACTACAACGCCGTCCCTTGGAGACACATGGGAAACTCATGCAAACGTCGAGCATCATCCCAGGAATGATATATGGCAATCACCATGAAGTGATCGAACGAATGGTACACATCATCCCCAGGATTCCCGCGAAAGAACTCCGGTTGAACGCAAGGATTGGCACCAAGAGCAGGAGGAGTTGTACCATGTGTTGTGAATGCCACCATCAACTGAGTTTGGTTGTTCAATTGCAAGTGTATAGCATCAAACAATTGTACCAACTACTGCTCTAGAGGCAAAGGAGGAGATTGTTAATCTGCCATATAGATGAACAAAAAAGAAAGAGCAAAATAAGAGAAATGACAAAAAGTTAGAAGGAAATGGTAGATCTAGACAATGCAAAAAGCTAGATCTAAACCAAAAACCTGAAAGGAAAGAACAAAAGAAAGGAAATAGAAAAAGTTAGATCTAGACAATGCAAAAATTATATCTAAACCAAAATCCAAAATTCAAGCACTTCTCAAGGACAATCAAGGATGCTTCTCAACTCCACCAATGTGAGTGTTTGGAATATGGAAAGGGAATACAAAAAATGTGCATATTCATTAACCTAAAAACCATAGCTTATGAGTGGTCTGAATTAAAACTACCAAAATCCCACTATGCTAATATTAGTATACGGCATCGTAGCTATACATTTGGCCCTCACATTATATTATTTTATGTTCTAACAAAATATCTCTATTATGGAATAGAGTAAATATTTAAATTATTACAACAAGAAGTGTCCTTTAGAACATTTTTATCTATATAATGTGAAACTATTACATTCACCATAACTTTTAATATTTTATAATTTTTGTAGTAAATTACAATTAAAAATTAAGCTCAACTCACAAACTCAACTCTTTAACTTATGAACTCAAAAATGGTTGACTATCATTTCCATTGCCTTACAAGTTCTCCTAAGAGGCTTTCAACACTCTAATAAAGCAGAAGCTATATATTACAACCAATAGAAGAGAATTACTCCACAATAAAGAAAGAGTGCTTAGTAGCAATTTGAGGTTTTGAGAAATTCATATATACTTCTATTTGGACATCATTGCAAGATAATTATGCTGTGATCACTTCATTATTGAAGTGGAAGAATTTGGTGGGCTATATTACTCAATAGGCTCTAAAGTTTTAAATATATTACTTCAAAGTTATTCATCACCTAAAGAGTTTTGTAGTTGATACTAATGCTTTTTTTCGAGCTTCTCTTCATTCTTTATATTTTTTTCTCATGTTTCTAATGAGCTGATTGTTCTAGAATTAGTGGATTTTCTAAACAAAAATTTTGTGTTATTGACAGTTGTTATATTTAATATTAAGGTGTAGAGTTAGATTTACCTTATTTTGATGAGGTTTATGAGGCTCAAAAGCTCAAAAGCTCAAACTATAGATTTGAAGGCTTTATAATGGGTTTGAGAATATTGTATCACATGCTAATAATTTGTCATTTCAGCATTTATATTTTTATTATTGCTTTAAAAAATGCCCTTCTTTACTTTATAGAGATTAATTTTGATGATCATTTGTGATTAGTGGTGCTTTTGATTTTTATTCCACACGTTCTTTACACTTGCTATAACTTTTCTATTCTAGGTAGGCATATAGGATATTGTCATATGATTGATAAGTTGCGTAAGTCTTTTGATTAATTGGAGATATAATATAATAATTTTTAGTATGTATATAGCTACTTTTAGTGCCAATACTCCTCTTTATGTTGCATATGTAGTTAATTATAATTTCATATTTATTTGAGTTTGTGGCATTTGATATAATAGAGTTTTTTTCATAGTCAACTATTGAAATGAGTATGCCATTATTGCTTTTGACTACTTAATTTTTTATGTGGAAGTTAGTGTTTTTTCTAGTGTGCTTACAATTGCTATTAGATACCTCCTCTTCAATCAAGTAGTATTCTAGCATTTTTTAAAGCAAATTCTTAGATAATGGTCTTGTATTTATATCTAAGGTATTTCATGTTTTAATGTTTCGGTTGAAAATATACCACACTTTCATAAGTGTTTATTATCCACAAACAGATATTTTGGTAGAATGACTCATTTGGATTTTCAAAGAGATGATCACAAGATGGTTATTTGCCATCTCTTGTATATGTATATATATCATGGGAGTACAAAATTCCATTAATGCTTCATTATATAAATTTTTATATGGTTATGATTCAATATAGTCAAAAGAATTGAGTTTATCTTCATTGTTGCTAGGATTAATATTTAAAAAACAATCTTCCACTAGTTTGAATAAAGTTTGTTAAGCACTTTAGTTGTATATAAGTAGAACACCAATAACACTACAACTTCTATCATTATCCACTTGTAAAATATAAAGTGATTAATTTAGTGTTAGTTTGTTTTCCCAATCCTATGGTACATGTTAAAATTTGTAAATTGATAGGCCAAAATTTAAAGAAATATTACAATGAAATACTAATGTATTTGTAAGTGGTGCAACTTATGGTTATAATGTTATATATTATTATTAGTGTAATGGAATTTAGCCCATCAACTAACTGCTTTCTATCTAAATGCATAATTAAGATGCTATAAACTATCTATAATAATAAGAACGAAGGGCCCAGACCCAAGCCAACCTTGGAAGCCATGGTTCTCCGGGAGGGGAGTCCACCCTAGGCCCGGGCCAGGCTTGGTGGCCATGGTTAGCCAAAATATCAGCTCAATGTTGTGGTGGGTAATGGGCAAGATGCACATGTGGTTGGGAAGAGAAGAGGGCATGGTGACAGGTGTTACACCATGCACTCCTAAGGCTCCATAGTTGCTCTGCTTGCCTGCAGTGCACAGCATTTGCTGGGCAAGTACTCGTTATTATCATAGTGAAATTTTGAAAACAAGGTTTTGATTTTTGAATAGACTAAATAACAAAAGAGATACCTTCTTAGTACTAACTTAGCTACATCCCCTAATTATTAAGATTTGTTTAGAATAGATCCCACTGGACAAAACTTACATTCTGAAAGAAAGCTATTATAATCCTCTACATTTCTACGGAGACCAGCTTTTGGAAACTTCGATCGAGTATCGAAAGACAATGCAAACCTGAAACAAACAATTCAACGATATTAGAAGACTCAATCTACGAAAGAAGCACTACCACAAGCGGTGCTACTCTTCCAGAACTAAAGTCTGAGAAGAAACAAGAAAAACGATCAAAGATCTATCTGAAAGCCAAGGAACCAAACCAGGAAAAAAAATGAAGGAAGAACAACACTTACGATCGATCATTAGTAGAAGCGGTGCTGCCTTCCCAAGAGAGACATCATCCTCTCCATTCCATTGATCCCAACGTTGGAGGCGATCTTGAGAACTCCCTGGAGAGGCTCGAAGTAATTCCCATAGACGTACTCGGGCTTGTACATCCCTTCCTCCTCGTCGTAGAGAAGCATATGGCCGTGCCACTCCCACGTCCGATATCCCACCTCCATCTCTTCATCGTAGCTCACGCAGACATGGTGATTCCCCACCGCGATGGATTTGCTCGAGTTGGGCTCCAATCGCTCCCACTGGCCGCTGGTAATGATCTCGATGATCGCCTTGTCCATGGCCGCCTTCTCCTGGACGAGCTTGGATCGCCGCCCAATCTGCTGCTGCTGCTGGAGGCCATCAAAGACGACTGGCCCATTGTCACGCATTTGCGAGCGAAGCCCCAATCTCTCCATCGCCACGCTCAGCGGGATGTTGTTCAGATGGCTCCCGGCCATCCCAGCGGGCGTCTGCGGCGGATCCTCGCGCTTGGGCGATGCCGCGACCCTCCCCATGGCTGCAATACAGAGAATCGATGGAATCGCCCTAGAGGAGCTCAAGAACCCTAAAATGTGGGCGGTAATAAGAGAATGCTAGGGTTTGCATTATGGTTGTAGGGCTCATGGAGGACGACGGGGAGGAGATCGACTACCCGGAGATTACTCGCGGCGGCGGCGGCGGCGGCGGCAGCGATCAATCGCTCCCGACGTGCGTGGTTTGCATCGAGAGCCTGGGGCGCCATGGCGGCCCAGCCTCGCTACCCTGCGGCCACAATGGATGCCTCCGGTGTCTCCAAAAGGTGAGTGAGGCTATGCTCTTCTTCTCGAGCAGTAGCTAGATGATTTTGGATTCCAGGTCCAGAGACACTCGCAATCGCCGCTTTGCCCTCTCTGCCGGACGCCATTCGATGCCGAGATGAATTTGGGGCCGAATTTGGAGCTCAAGGAAGCAATTCGCCAGGCACACGCAAGGAAGATGGATAGAAGCTCAAGTACGCCACCGAAGGAGGGGGTCTATCCGAAAATCCACCAGCAGCACCAGCAGCCAGCACCAGAGATCACTATAAGGAATCTCTTCGCTGGGTTGTATGCGATTGTCACGGGGGCAGCGAGCAAGAAGAGCAGTGATAGCAGTGATCGTCGCAGGGTAGTGGCAGAGGCAGGAGATGGTCCTCCGGAGGATTTATGGGGGAGTGTCTTGCTACCCAGCGCTCCTCCTCTTTTCTCCTCCAGCGCTGTTGACGATGTTAGAGCGACCAAAACTCTGCTCGAGGCCGAGCCTCCACAGTGGCTTCCAGACAGCTCCGCAACGTCGTGTATGCAGTGTGATGCAAGCTTTCGGCCAGTGACTTGTGGAAGGCACCACTGCCGGTTTTGTGGAGGGATTTTCTGCCGCTACTGCTCCAGGGGCCGCTGCTTGCTGCCGATGAAGTTCCGAGAGCGAGAGCCTCAGCGGGTCTGCGATGCTTGTTACGAGAGACTGGAGCCAGTCCAGAGACTTCTGGTGGAGCGAGTGAGCAATGCCTCTCAGGTGGCGACGCACGACGTGACGGATTTTAGCTGCATGAGAAGCTGGCTCAACAGCCCCTTGGGCCTCTCGATGGAGCAGGAGATCTACAAAGCTACAAACGCTTTGCGAAGCTATGCAAAGGTATTGCTCTTCTTGGTTGCTCTTCTCCGATCTTACTTTTGGCCTTTTTATCTAGATTGGAGGCTTGAAACCTGAGAAGGCGATACCCGAAAAGGTGCTGAGAGGCGCCAAGGGAGTGGCAGTGTTAACCATCGCGAAAGCTGGCGTTGTTGTCACGTATAAGCTTGGAACGGGACTCGTGATCGCGAGGCGTGAGGATGGGACATGGTCGGCTCCTTCTGCGATTGCTTGTGCCGGGCTTGGATGGGGAGCTCAAGTATGTGTTCTATCATTTCTCGTTTTCTCTCTTGTGCTAACAGGACTCACTTTCCAGATGGGAGGAGAGCTAACGGACTTCATACTCGTTCTTCGCAGCCCCGAGGCTGTGAGGGCCTTCAGCGGACGAATCCATTTCGCTCTGGGAGCTGAGCTGAGCGCCGTCGCCGGTCCCGTGGGACGACTCGCGGAAGCTGATGTTCGAGCTGGCGACGGTGGCACTGCTGCTTGCTACTCCTACAGCTTAAGCAAAGGTAAGCTCTACTTTCCATTCGAGCTTCCAGGGATTTCTCTAACGAGCAAAGAATTCTTCTCCCACAGGGGCGTTTGTGGGGGTCTCGGTCGAAGGGAGCGTTGTGACGCGAAGATCCGACACGAACGCTCGTTTCTATGGCGATTCTTACGTGACAGCCGCAGACATTCTCTCGGGAGCTTATCCAGCGCCAAGAGCAGCGTACCCATTATACGAAGCTCTTCACGATCTCTTCTATTGAAAAGCTGTGCATAGGTAGTGTGTAAATGGTGTTCTTTGTAGATACACGCAAGATTTGTTCTATGGGAAAATTCCTGGCAATGGGAATCGAGCCAGGGATGGGCGGGTACTTAGTCGCCAAAAGTGACCTCTTCCATCTTCATTAAAGTAAGAAAATAGCCCTAGCTCCTCCCAGCGATGGCGTATGTCGATCACTCTTTCTCCATCTCCGAGGATCCCACCGGCACATTCATCATCAACAACAAGCCGCCAGTGAAGGAGATCGCGTTGTCCGTGGCGCTTCTGGCTCTGGGCGCCATTGGCATGGTGATCGGGATCTTCATGATCTACAACAAGATCGGAGGTGACTCGGGACACGGTGAGTCTAGGATATTTCGATGCGATCTTGCGAAATTTCGAGTGGATTGAGCGTGAATTGTGGTGTTCTTCCCTCCAGGCGTGGCATTTACGATCCTCGGAGCTTTGCTCTTCTTGCCGGGGTTCTACTATACCAGAATCGCTTACTACGCTTACAAGGGCTACAAGGGTTTCTCCTTCGCGACGATCCCAGCAGTGTAGAGGGAAGATAGAAGGTTTCCAGAATTTTTTTCCCTTTTTTTTGTATGATACTCACTGGTCTCGATCGATACATTGATTGTATTAATCTACACCTCGTGTTTTTTTTTCTTGTAGGTTCTCTCTCTATACTGCTCGAGTTAGAGCACTGTTTATCAAAAGACTTGGTCGATCGAAAACGAGGGGTTTTTTCTCCTTTCCTTCGCATTGTTTTGTTTGGGTTGTCTTATCTTTAAATGCAGCAGCGTGTTGACCCGACGAGATCGTAGTTATAGATTGACAGGAAGGAATGAGCAACGGATCGGTGGTACCAGTGGCCGCCAAGGCGGACGACGAAGATATCTGGGTTTGCAGGAGGTGTGGCTGGACATACCCAAATCACCATCCCAGCGCCAGGCACCGCAGGAATCACAGGAAGCATTGCGGTAAAGTCAAAGGGTTTGAAGCAGGTGAAGTGGTGAAGCAGCCTGAGCAACTAGATCACGGATCATCTGACGATGTTTCCTCGGGCGAAGAGAAGAGTGTTCATCAACGACAAGGTACCTCTTCAGCCTACCATGGTGCTTTGCTCATCTCGTTTCTCTTCCTGTTCGGCTTTCTCTTCTTCTTTTTTTATTCACAGTTTCAGAGGCTGCTAGTGGTGTTACTGCCGCTGCTGTAGCTCCTGAGACACACCAAACTGTCGCTGAAGGCGGTGTCGAGGATAAAACGCCGAGCTCAACAGTGGGTCTAACGGGAGAATGTAAGAACCGTTTGCTGTTGGGATTTTCGTATCAATAGTTTCGTGAATGCAGTGATTCCAGCTCAAGATGAGGCTGCTTCACATCCAGAGCAAGGTATGTATGATCAGTCAGTGCGTTTATTGTGATCCCCGTTGACGATAGTTTTTCCGTTTTCTATTTCAGACGCTCCTGCTTCCAGCGACGAACCTTCAGATCTGTGGGAACAGCTGCTGGATGCTCAGGTGGCTGGAACACCACCATCACGACTGGAAGCCGCGCATGCAAATACTGAAAACTCGTCCATTGAGGAAGCTTCTGCTTCTCATAAAGGTATGCAAAAGAAATATAGTTTCAAATGAGATTTTCATTCCTAAATGCAGATGAGTTTGGTGGAGAGGACGTTCCTTTAAACCCTTTCGTACCTCCGTCTCCCGTTGTCCATCACGAAGGTACGCTGGAAATATACTCCTTTGTCTGATTGCATTAAGCTTGTTAGTCTACAGGCATCCATGTAGCTGAAAGCGGCCAACTGGAAGAGATTCCAATCCACTCCGAAAAGAATCCTTTTCTACACCCTGATTCTCCAGTGTCAGGTACGTCAATCTCTTCCATTGCATTTTTCTAATCGCATTTTTTCTGGTCACAGGGACACAACGTGTTGACAAAGAAAAGGCCGAAGCCTCGTCGTCCACATCCTGGGATAGCATCAAGCCACATGTCGCCTTGAAATCACTCTTTGACGAGGACCGGACAAGGCAAGCTGATCGATACTACTTGGAGGAGGGCCAAGCTCCGGTGCCGGATGTGCCACCACCCAAGCGTACCAACAGCAACGTCCTGATGAAAGCCATTGAGAATGTCAGAAACCCCTCGCCAAAGTTTAGTGGCGGCGGTGGTAGCGGTGGTAGCGGTGGTGGCAACCAGCATAAGCAGCAGCGATCATGGTGGAGCAACTACATTTGTTGCACGCCGAGAATCAGCTAGCAATTTTTGGACACACAGGGAATTTATGCCAGACTATCAAAAATAGGAGTAAGATTGTTTTGTGTCACTGCTTAGGAACTATCTTGGTAACATGAATTTCATGTAAACAAGGAGTTTAAGCCAAAAAGTCAATGAAAGCCAAATAATACGATATTGTCTTTGTGGTAAGGACAATACTAATAATGGAATCTACATTTCCGATGACAATAATTTACTCTTCTTCATCTTCAAATAACTAAGGTTTCTAAAGGCAAGTAATAAGTATGGATTGGGTGATTAAGTTTGCTGTTCTTTGCTCATTTCTAGCTCTTTCTGCAGAATCATACACAATAAACACCCTTTCCACAGATGATATTCGCATCAACCCAGAAGCCATGCACGATGCTATCAAGCTCTTCTCTGGCGAGGAGTATTACCCAGTTGGATCCGCTTTCATCGATTTCGTGACCGTCACGAACAACGTTGTGGTCAACTTTATCTTCTTTGTGTATGAAGGAGGCCAGGTCCCAGATTACTGCCGAGTAGGAGCCGATGGACAGCATTACATTCGTGGAAGAGTTCTCCAGGCCACCCTTCGGAATATTCTCTACTATTGCACAAACCAGATGCTCCTCTATGGAGCTAGCAAGATGTTATCAGTGTGGGGATAGACTATGTGATTGCGCACATTGAGCAAGGTCCCACTCTTGATTTTTACTATGATTATTCCAATACTTCAGTTGAAACAATGGAGGACTCTTCTAGAACATCAGTGCATGGTTTACCACGTAGAAGTTGCGTGACTCGATTCACAACGCTGGACAGTGGCTTCTACAATTTGCTTCCAAAGGGCTATCGCTTGACCACATCAAATAATTACTATAGTTTGGAGGTGGAGGACGATTGTAGTGTGGCAGTCAAAGCTGGTGGCAAAGAGATCTGGAGGAATGGCTATCCGCGGCTCAGAGATGTGAATTGTGGCCTCAGAATCCAAACGGATGGAAACATGGTTATGTTTGAGCGATCGAGTAAAAGAGTGATCTGGGCTGTGAACAAGCTCTGTCAAGGTCTTTGCTATACTTTCCTTACCATCCAGGACGATGGAAATGCTGTGCTCTACCATGTATATAAACATAGCACCGAGATGACACTTGTGTGGGATTCGAAAACATATCATAAGTACAAATAATATAAGAAAAGAATGGTCATCTTGTCTCAATACTTTTCTCGCCCAACCCCTCACCGCGAGCGTTTGCTTGTGCTATAGGTCTGGCTGTTCGTATGATTCCTGGCAGGCCACGATGGGATTCTTCCAGAGGATGCAGCAAGAAGGTATGGCACCGAGCCGAGTAACTCTTCTCACCGTCGGGTGAGAAATCAGTCAGCATGGGAGCGTCCAATCGAGAGCATGAACAAATCAGTCAGCGCCCAAGTGCGAACACGAAGAAATCAGTTAGTGTGGAGAAGACGACCAAATCAGTGGAGTGCCAACTTGGAACACTGTTGGCATGGACTGGCAGGTAGGGATGTGTGCTGTGTTCAGCTTAGCAGCTGAGTTAACGGGCAAGCCACAGCCCGTTAATGCTCCACCTTTGGAACGCCAGCTCCTCTTCAGGTGAAACCGCTGCCGGGGAAAGGCGATTTAGGGTTCTCCTGGTCCAAAGACGATGGAAGACGATGGGCTGGATGATCTCTTTAAGAATCGACGTATAGGGGTGGCCACCATTTCCAGAATCCGAGATCTAGATCTGAAAGCACAGGATTTGCTGCTTCTGTCACCTCAGTTTTTGGCAGAGCTGTGCCAAACTGTGGGAGCATCTGATGACGAGAGGTTCAAGATTTTTGCTGCCGTGAGTGCAGCACAACAATCCGCAGTGACGGGAATCTACGGATTTGGTAAGCAATCAAGCCCGTTGTTGCCTGGCTGATGTATTTTGTTTCCGGTTCGCAATCGGAAAGTTTGAACGCGCGTTTATACATTTCTGAAAGAACAGATCTGTTGGAAAAGCTTGAGAGTCTTGTTCGCAAAGAACGACCAGTCATCGTGCGAGCCCCTCCTCAAAGTGGTAAAACGTCTCTTCAAAAGACAGAACCGAATCGAAATTCAGCGACGTGTTCTGCATCAGCCTTGCAGGCATCAGTGGCCACAGTTTCGAGTATATGTGGCATCAGCACTATCCTCGTGAGTACTCAAGAAAGACTGTTTATTTTATTCTCTGTGACATGTCTTTCATATCTTGCAGATGTTCCAATCGAGAGGCTCAACAGCAGCGAGCCTACACTTATACTTGTTGACGAAGGGCAGAGTGGGTTTCATGCTCCTGATATAACTCTATGGGCCAAGATTAAATCAGCGCAAGCCGGTGGTATGCTGCATATTGTGCTCGTCTCCAGCGTTGCGAGTGACAAGGATGATACTGACGTACCTCCAACACCAATTATATTTCAACCAAGTTGCGCTGTGACTCGCATGTAACGGTGAAGCTTAGAATTATTCGCATGTAACTTGCGTGATTATCCTGAATGCAGGCTGCAACATGATTGTGAATCTTCGGGTCTTTCTCTCCAGTTTTCAAATGCTGAATGCATGGAGTTATGGCAGAACTGGTGCAAATTCTGTGGATTTGTACCCAGCAACAACGATATCCTCTACTACATGATGATGGAGGTTGGAGATAGACAACCAGGGCTCATGACACACATGCTTGACTGGCTTGTGAGGGGAATGTTCAATGACAAAAATCGGGCAGATTGTGAGGAGTTTGCTAAGAAGGAATTGCTTTCTGATGGAATCGCTATCTGAGATTCGAAGTATCTGCACGTAAGTAAAACTAGACGCCTGATTTGATGTGATTTGGTTTGTGTTCAGGTTTCGTCATAGGTACTGGCAACCAGAGTTATGCGGGTATCCTCTCCAAATTATTAAGATCTAGTTCAGTAAGTGTCAATTTTCATGTTTCCAATTTAACTTTTCACTGCAGGCTCTGGGTTTTGTGAAGAAAACAGAGCTGTCATCGGAAGACCTTAGTGCTGCAAATATGCTGTTGAGAAGGGGTCAATTGGTGAGGACCAAAGCCCATGAACTTTATGTTCCCTTTGCCTTTGCATTGTCACTATTTTGCATCTTTATGTGCCACTGCAACATTAATGCTGCCAAAGCTTCAAACAATGTGCATTGAGAGCTTTCTGGTCCATGTGATTCAAAGGATGAGTGCAGGATTATTATGATCCGACGCAAAAAGACAAAGATTTAGCCACCCTAAACTATACTATGCCACCTTTTACAGTTCTTCACCACTCAACTACCCCTAAGCTACTTCAAAAGCTCCATTGTGCCGCTGCTCCACTATGAACCTTAAGGTAGGTTAAATCCTTTACTAAGCTTAACATGCCTTAATATACCCTTAAGCCTCCTTTTGACTAATGTTGACCATGTGGTCAAAGTTGGCGTCTAACAATTCTTTCCCCCTCCCCCCCCAACAAAGTCTTTGTCCCAAGGATGAGTTGTACTAGTGATCATTTTTTTTGGGGAACCTTGCTCAAGCTCCTGGTCCATCTTCCACAGCTGTATGTATTAAGGAGGCATTGGGCTCGTCACTCCAAGATAGTACACCTTTCAACTAGCTGACATAAAATACTGGATGAATTTTCACCTCAGCTGGTAGCCGCACCCGATAAGCCACTTTACCAATGCACTCCAGCACTTCATATGGATTAGCATATCAATGGGAAAGTTTATCACTCTTCCCTGTCCGTAAAGGCACCAAAGTGTTCTGCCGCTCACTTGATGGAAAGATCACTCCCACAAAGACGAGATCACCCACTTTATATTCCTGGAATTGGTGATGCTCATTAGCAAACTTCTCCATTCTATCCTGAGCTGCTTGCAAATTCTGTTTGCACACCACCAAAATCTCATCAAGTTCTGTGGCAAGATCAGTCACCTTGGAATCAAGTTTATCTTGAACCTCCTTACTCAAATGCAATCCCAACTCCACCGCTGTTTGGGGATGCCTTCCAAACATGGCAAAGTAAGGACTTAGCTTGGTTCCACTGTGTTAGCTATTATTATAAGAAAATTGCACTAACGGAAGATATAAATCCCATTGTGACAAATGCTATAACGTAGCATATCCTCCACCATCTGATTCACACGCTTGGTTTGCCCATCCATCTGAGGATGATCTCCACTCGAGAGTTTCAAAGTCACTCGCATAGCCTTTGCAAAGCTCTTTCAAAATCCACTGGTGAACTTTGAATCTCGATCACTAATGATATCTTTCTAATGAAAAACCTTCTCCAAGTAAACTATAACCAAGTTTGAGGCAGTGACAGTTTTCTGAAGAGCCAACAACCACACATACTTTGTCAATCGATCCACTATAACCCATACTTGCTCCTATTGCCTTTGTGTTCGTGGTACACTTGAGTAATTAACGCATCCACCCGTGGCAAATATACACGGCTATTGTAGTAGAGAATCCCATCCACCAATGAAAAAAGGGCTGCCATTTGGTCTTGCAAAGAGGCCACCTCAACTGTAAGCGACTAAATTTTCCATTCTACTTTAGTCACTTAACCACACCTTTGACCACTTGGAGGAGTCTCATTCACAACCTCCATAAGTCCAATTCAGGACTTGGGGCTTGCTAGCCCCAGGAATGACATCCATGCCACTCAACACTGGCACCTGGTCCAAGTGCTCTACGTGTCCGATCCCATGACCGACACTCAAAGGTACCACCGATATGGCAGCCCGTTACGCTAAGGCCATGCCCAATCACCTTTGCCACACTGTAGTCCAATACCACTTGCATCACAGTCTTGGCTCTCCAAGACTGGGCCAACCATCCGTGAGTGGTCATCTCAGATCCACTCCTTAGCATCCTTAGGATGCCCACCGACACGGGGAACAGCCTTCCCCAATGTCCCTCTGTCAGTCCCCCCTAAGTCCCTTTCTGCCCCTGGCCGTGTTTGCCAACACTGCCACTGGATCGAGGCCCACAGGCCCGACCACTAAGTCCCACGGTCCTCTAGAACTTCCTCACCACACGACTGTGTCCTTGGTCACTACCCCAGAGGACTACTCCTCTTCCTTTCCACAGTCTGGGCCTTTGGGACAACATTTCGGAACACCGTGGCTTTACGCGAGCCACCTGGGTACTCTCCCCG